AGCGGCGCCCGGGGACCCGACTTCTAGCGGGAGGCTCTGCGGAGGCCAGAGCAGAAGCAGAGTCTGTAGCCTCGCAGTTTAGTTCGGGTCTTTCGTTTGTGCGCTGGGGAGGAAGTCTTGCCTCCCATCCCAAGAGCCACGTGTAAGGTTCCCGGGCGGCAGGAAGACTTTCCCTGGCTCTGGGCGTCTGGGCTTTGGAGGGTGGGTGGAGCAGAAGGGTATTTGTCTCTGCTCTCAGCCTGGGCCCTGTCCCTTCCCAGGAGTGTCCCAGCGGGATTGTCAACGAGGAGAACTTCAAGCAGATTTACTCACAGTTCTTTCCTCAAGGAGGTGAGGGGACAAGGCCAAGGGCAAGCGGCTGTCTCCAGACTGAGAGCGGGAGAGGGTTCTGGAGGGTGGAGGGCTTGGAATGCCGAGGTGGTGAGGGCTGGGGGAGCGCCATGGAGGTCGGAAGCCCCTCGGGTCTGGAGGCCAGGCTCAACCTCTCCACGCTCACCCTGCAGACTCCAGCACCTACGCTACTTTTCTCTTCAATGCCTTTGACACCAACCATGACGGCTCGGTCAGTTTTGAGGTAAGCTGGAGGAGGCGGGACAGGGAAGCCTGATTCCTGGGGCTTCGGGGCCAGCGTCTCCACGCCAGACCCAGAGAAAGGGCTGGGTGAAGAGGATCTGAAGACACGGCTCCCCCGCCTCCTTCCCAGGACTTTGTGGCTGGTTTGTCGGTGATTCTTCGGGGAACAGTGGATGACAGGCTGAACTGGGCCTTCAATCTATATGACCTCAACAAGGACGGCTGCATCACCAAGGAGGTGCTGGGCAGCTGAAGGGCTGGACTGCAGGGGCGGGGCAGGGGGCCGTGCGAGGGCACCGTGACCCACATGGGCATCTCCAGCCAGGGAGTGGCCTCTTGGCCCGCAGGCTGGGGCTCTGAGGGAGGATCTTCTCCTTGGCCCAACAGGAGATGCTGGACATCATGAAGTCCATCTATGACATGATGGGCAAGTATACGTATCCTGCACTCCGGGAGGAGGCGCCGAGGGAGCATGTGGAGAGCTTCTTCCAGGTGCCAGGGCTGGGTAGGCCGGGGGGCCCTGGAGCGAAGGGAGGGAGGCCAGGGACCAGTGGGGAACTCACCTGCATTCTGCGCACACCTCTCTGGCTGCCTCTCCCGTTCTCTCTGCCTGACCACCTGCCTGCAGAAGATGGACAGAAACAAGGATGGCGTGGTGACCATTGAGGAGTTCATCGAGTCCTGCCAAAAGGTGCGGGTCCCCGTCCTCTCAGCGCCCTGGCCTGGACTTGGGCCTGATTCACTCATGGAGAGAAAGGCTCCTTTGGGCTGGGCCGAGTACCACCTTCCTAGCCCACCCCAGGCCCCAGCCCTGTTCCTTGGGGGAGGCTCACCCCTTCCCCAGCTCAGGTCCCTCTCTCTGGGCGTCTCCTTCCTCTCTGCCTCTGAACGTCCCCATCTCCAACTCGAAGTCCTTGTCGCTGTCTCTGACAAGCTCTTGCTCTCTCTTTCCAACCTGCCTTCCTCATGCCTCGGTCGCAGGATGAGAACATCATGAGGTCCATGCAGCTCTTTGACAACGTCATCTAGCCCCCCAGGAGAGGGGCTCAGTGCGTCCCGGGGGGCCCGAGCTCTAGCCCTAGGCCAGGTGGACCTCACCCTCTCTTCCCAGGTCTGTCCTCACCCTAGCCCTATCCTGGGGGCTGAAGGGATCCAAGAACCTGGGCTTCAGTGGTCCAGATCCCTGGAGCTGATGGGGCCAGAGAGTGGGCAGAGTGTACCTGGGGGTGTTCCCCACCCCCAACAGCTCTCGCCCCCTTCCTGTCTGACACCCAGTGCTGAGGGTGCCCCTCCTGTAGGAACCGAGTGGTCTCCCACCTCCCGCCTCCTCTAGGAACCACAACACTAGGCAGAATGTCTCCCGCTATGGTGCTTCCC